ACGTGAGGCATTATTGTTGTGGGATGAAGTTATCTAATTCAGCCTGGTTGTCGGAGAGCTGATCCTCCTCCTCCTCGTCCAAGTCTGCAGCTGACGGTACTGTTTGAGAGGGGGAGGGAGAAGGTAGCGTCCCTGAGGTAGAGGATGATGTCCAGTGTCTCTTCCGTACACCCCAGTGGTCCCATGGCACCCAGTGAGGTGGGTAGTAGGGTGAAGGGTACAGGTACTCCAAATACCAGGGTGGTCTACCCTGGAAGTAGTAAGGGTGACAAGCTGCAGTAAGGGACAAATGTTGCACTGTGAAGACACTGTATTGGTCCCCCCCGCCTGATACCATCTCGTTCAGACAATGCTGGAGATCTTGGGTAGAGTGGGATGTACCCTGGAGAAGACTACGTGGGGGAAGCCCGTTAGGATTGTGTAAGTGAAAGCTGTGGCCTCCTATTATCATCTGCAACCTGTAGTGCCCCTGGGGGATGGCATGGAGCTGAAGGTGGACAAGCACGCCTCTGGACCCCATTCCTTGCGAACGGATTGTGTGGCTGCGTGCAGGGTCATTCTGGGTGCAACGTCTGTTGCTGCTGCCAGCACCGGTGTGCACGGGCATTTAGAAGCGCTCTCCAGTGCCAGGACTGATCTCCACAGCACCGAGGCTGAATGCGCCTTAGGCATTTCAGTGCCGTTCCTGGCGCTAACTTCCCTAGTGCGGGTGCTCTCCTTTTCCATTCTCACCTGTCGGGGAGATGGAGTCGGGGGCAGGGACTTGGTGGAGGATTGTCCCCTCTTTGCCCATGCTGCTGAAGCTGGAGGTGACTTTTTCTGGCCACGGATCCCTGAGAACTCTCCAGCTGCATTGCTTTATTTAGTAGCAGCATGCAGAGGCAAAGCTACCTGTCCTTCGTGGCTCTCCCCATGAAAGAGCAGCAGAAATCACATCTCTGGGGGACATGTGTCTCACCAAGACAACAGATACAATCCGCATGTCTGTCTGAAACCAGCATGGGCTCCTGGCAAGTGACACTTCTTAAATCAGAGGAGCCTGGCATTGTGGCTCCTGGCCAGCTCTCCCCCCG